ATATATACCCAGATAGGAAACAACACATTTTAGTGCTCTAGCCTGGGGGAGTAATGTTGTTACCAAAACATCACACATAAACTAACCTTTACATCTTTATTTACCAATGTTTGGGCACACACTGTTGTCGTTTCAAGGTAATACATTAAACACAAGGTAATAAGACCAAATTCAAATAAACAAATAGTGTGACGTTTCGGTAATAGCATTGACGAAAGGTCACACTATTTATTTATTTGGATTTGGTCTTATTACCTTGTGTTTATAATCTATAATCCAAATTGTGCCTTATCAAAGTAGTACTGTTGTGAATAATGAGTATAATGGGCCACTAAAACACAGAGAGGTAAAAGAGGTTGATAAATCCAACCTATAATGAATATTTTTACATAGAAATGACATTATTGTTGTTATCTTATCCAACTTATCATCTCCAGCTATCAGTTCACAGTGGGGATTGTGAGTTCCATCACTGAAGGAAGAACACCTATGGGGTTAACACATATAAGGAAGAATTCAGTACAATAAGAAATATTTCAACCTCTCCCAACCTCGCCCTACCTTCTTAAGAGATCCCCTAACTCCGCCTTTTCTGGTCCCAAGCCCGGATGAAAAAGGAGGAGGGGGAGCAGTAACAAGCTTGCTAAAAACCTAGGCTCAGCTGACCTGGCTGATAGTACCCTGTAAGGACTCCTAATCCATGGATACAGGATGAGCAGCGTTTGTACTCCATGTTAGGAGCGGCTGCACATGGCGTCTGTTCCTCATGTCAGAGGCGGCCATTTCTTTTGGAGCTAAGTCGGCCTGCCACAGAGTAGTGCTCCCAGTCTTAATGACAAAGGCAGATGCATTCTACTTCGTCCAATCATATGGTTGTCAACATTACAAGCTTGATACCGTAATATGATTGAGTGGAGATAAGAAAGAAGAAGAGAGATCCCCTCATTAAAACATCAACTTCCAAAGAGAGACCAGCTCCAGGAGAGAACAAGACAACATTTCCTCTTGCACTTGGGTTTTGGCTCATATATATTGTGAAATGTAAATGCATTTCCATTTGGAAAGGATGGATGGATTGGCAGCATGATTGCATTGTGTTATGAAAAAGAACCCCTGAGACACATGCTTTGAAAGCATCTGCATTTACTCTAATTCAAATATAATTAAATCTGATTCAATTATTTTATCCAATATATGGGCAAACAATAATTATATATAGGCTCTTTTCGAAGATATATTAAAGCTTTGTTGGCCGATACTTTGAGTATTTTATTCTACTTGACAATATTGAAGGGGTGACAGGTGTAGATACACCAAAGTTTTTGGATCCTCTGCAACTGAGAGTCCTGGCTTCACACTGTACTTCTACAGAAACCTGCTGTTGTCAACTGGGAGGTGTTCACAACAGTTCTTCAGATCACATATTTTAGAGAGAGAAACTTTAAAAAATCATATGATTAGGTTCAATTTGGATTATTCTATATACAGTTACGAGCGTCATCAATTCTTTTTCATCTCTGTCACCGTTTGCTTTTTTTTTTTTTTGGAATGGCGCTCTCCTATTGGTTGGCTACGATCACGCCACCTTTGCCCCCCCCCCACTCGCTTTGTTGTTTTTGTAACTATTGTGTTGGAGCGGGTCGCTCCTTAAATAATCTATTGTTAACAATACCTCATTATAGGTCCGCAAATATCGAAAGTATAAGTATGTAGCTTTTGTACTATTAAGGTGTATATATATACACATACTTTATGTATACATACATTATGCTGATGCAAACAAATAGATAATGCTAATAACAAACAATTATTTTTAAAATATCTTATCTAAATATATATCACTCGGATAGATATGCACACGGGTCAATCCCGGGGCAAATCCCGGGTCACCCGTCTAGTAGATTACACTGGTCAACAAGATTTTTGCACAAGAGAACCTGATTATGTTTCTAGTGTAACTTTTCATGCTGAACTCAAAAATCTAATCAGAAATTTCCCATCACCTATGGTTTTTGCGTGACGGTCTTTTTTTAGTATTGAATAAATACAATTTTGCATAACCCTTATTACATTACACTGGTTTATCAAAAAATATTTTTCTTTGTCCACAAAGAAATAGCATCTTATCTACATGTCCTGAATCCAAATATACCATTAGTTTTTTTCTATTACGCAATATTTCTGAGATACACCTACTTGAAATTTGGAAATATTGTTAATATATAGGCATATATGAACGAAACATATTTATTTATTGAAAAACAGTGACAGTGGATTTTCTTCTATACTTTGCTTGTGGTAGATCCCTCTTGAGTGTCCAGCAGTAGTCGGCAAGCATAGCGGGACTCCATTTACCTTGGTACCGCTTCTCCATGCTTGATATATCTTGATGAAACCTCTCACCATGCTCATCGCTAACTGCGCCAAGATTGTCTGGAAAGAAATCTAGATGTGAATGCAGGAAATGGATCTTGAGGGACATGTTACATCCCAGTGCCTTGTAGGAAAGCAACAGATCATTAACTATGTCTCAGTAATTTTCAACCTTGGCACTTCCTAAGAAGGTTTTGCAAACGTTTCTAAAGGAATTCCATGCTGCTGCTTCAACTTCATTCAAACTATTTTGAAAATTTCCATTCTGCTGCAATTCTCGAATCTGAGGTCCAACGAAAATGCCTTCTTTAATCTTCGCTTTACTTATACTAGAAAATTTTTGTTTTAGGTAGGCAAATCCACTGGCATTTCGATCCATTGCCTTGACAAAGTTCTTCATTATAATCCCAGTTTAATATGTAATGGTGGTAAGTAAATATTTTCTGAATCGATCAGGGGTAGATTTGCAATATTTTTATATCCTGGAGTAAAGATTTTACGGTTTGGCCAGATTTTTAAAATGTAATGCCTTTCCCTATCTCTGCTATCCCACTCACACAGAAAACAACAATATTTTGTATATCCAAGCTGTAATCCACGCAAGAGAGCAACGACTTTCAAATCGATGCATATTTTCCAACCGTATCTTTCATATTCTATCTTTTTCAAAAGCAGTTTCATTTATTATGGCATACATATTCATATATTCAAGCATTTATTACTGTATTTATCCCAATACTAAAAAAAAAAGACCATCAGGCAAAAACCATGGGTGATGGGAAATTTCTGATTAGAATTTTGAGTTCAGCATGAAAAGTTACACTAGAAACACCATCAGGTTCTCTTGTGCAAAAAAAAGGGTTTTTTTTGTAGACCTGTGTTATAAACACAAGGTAATAAGACCAAATACAAATAAATAGTGAGTGACATTTCGGTAACAGCACTGTTACCATCATCAGACAATATTCTTTTGTCTGTTGATGGTAACAATGCTATTACCGAAACGTCACACACTATTACATTATTTGGATTAGGTCTTATTTTCTTGGATCTAAAATACGAAATGTTTTTCACCTGTCTCACATACAGATATTTTAATGAAAGAAAAAGGTTAAACACTTACAGTTGACAAGACTTTTTCTCTCTTTTGGAAGCTTTAAGCGAGTACTGAATCTTTAGATATAATACATTTATAACATAAGGCTCCTCAGGAGTGAGTGGCAGCTAATCACTGAAACGTATATTTTCTTGTATCTATAATCCTTAATCCAAATGGTGCTTTTATCATTTCTTATTCTATTCATGATTAAGATGAAGTTTATACAAGGCTAGCAAATGTTCCCCGCTTCACCCGGGTTTTACCCAGGTAAAAGTTTGCCTAATATACTTTGCTTCAAGAATGGTATCTTACAGTAGTAGTAAAAATTCATTAATATCATATTAATAATTTTTCTACAGTAGAACCTCCCTTTATTGGATACCCCGCTAGCGGACATCTCTCTACAAAGGACAGGTTTCATTTGTAAAATTACCATTTTTACTATTTAGCAACTCTCTGTTAAGAGAACACATCTCCCTAAAGAACACTTTGGCTCTGCAATTAGATGTCCTTCACAGGGAGGTTCTACTGTATTTGCAATTCCCCGTTAAGAGGACACCTTGGCTCTGCAATTAGGTGTTCTTTACAGGAAGGTTCTACTGTATTTGCACCTCCCCGTTAAGAGGACACCTTGGCTCTGCAATTAGATGTCCTTTACAGGAAGGTTCTACTGTATTTGCACCTCCCCGTTAAGAGGACACCTTGGCTCTGCAATTAGATGTCCTTTACAGGAAGGTTCTACTGTATTTGCACCTCCCCGTTAAGAGGACACCTTGGCTCTGCAATTAGATGTCCTTTACAGGAAGGTTCTACTGTATTTGCACCTCCCCGTTAAGAGGACACCTTGGCTCTGCAATTAGATGTCCTTTACAGGAAGGTTCTACTGTATTTGCACCTCCCCGTTAAGAGGACACCTTGGCTCTGCAATTAGATGTCCTTTACAGGGAGGTTCTACTGTATTTGCAACTCCCCGTTAAGAGGACACCTTGGCTCTGCAATTAGGTGTTCTTTACAGGAAGGTTCTACTGTAATAGAAAATATAAATTAGTTCAATTTGTATAGGATTTGAATAGTTGATATTTATATATTCCAACAGATGGCGCAAGCTATCAGCAACTTTTTGTTGCACGATCAGGAGATGCCCCTTTATCTATATATATACTGTTGAAATTTCAGCCAGATTGGTAAAATATTGAGGAAGCATGGGGGGGACAAACAGACATATTTTTATATAGAGAGATGAAATTTGATTTAATAGAGCAAGTTGGCAAATTTAGTAGTGTTCTTATGAGAAACATCCAAAAAAATATAAATAATTTCTGGTTTCTCAACGGATTTATAAAGAATTTTAAACATTTTTGAGTTTAGCCAGTTCATGGAAAAGAAGTTAATTATACAGATAAGGCACAATTTGAATTATTAAAATATACAGTTATCAGCGTCATAATAAAGCCACAATTCTTAATCAACTCTGTCACCGTTTGCTTTGTGAATGGAATAAATACCCAAATATGGCCATTTCTCATAACCATCGGTGGTTCAGTGGTAGAAGGCTCGCCTGCCTCGCGGTCAACCCGGGTTCGATTCAAGGCCGATGCATTTTTTTTTTTACAATTTTTAAAGCTCATTTATATATTATACAAGAATGACATCCACGGCGCCAATTTATAATTGTAACGAATAGTATTTGAATAAACGCATTTAATCAGGTAAAACCCGGGCGTTGCCCGGGTCATTCGGCTAGTAGATTATATAACACATGGTAATAAGACCAAATCCAAATAAATAAATAGAAACATGCTGTGGTAAAAGTTCTCATTCAGTACTTTTGTCTGAAGATGGTAACAACACTGTTACAGAAACGTCACACACTGTTTATTTATTTGGATTTGGTCTTATTACCTTGTGAAGGTAATTGTACTGTAGAACCAATCTAATCTGCAACCCAAACCACATCATTGATTGTATTGGCTCATCCATTGATGAGATCTACTCATCTCCAGCAGACACCATCAACGAGCTCTACAAGCTTGATGCCCCGATATGATTGAGTGGAGATAAGAAAGAAGAAGACCAATCAGTGTAAAGTGGCAACACTCACCAGTTTGTTGATGAGCTCCATGGTACCATTGAGATGGCGAGGAGAGAGCCCTGTGCCCAATACCATGTAGGTCCCGTAATCTTTCTCCTCTGGAATCTGGATGACTGCTATGTCCAACACCTTTTCCTGCCGCAGTATGGAGACAAAGTCCTCCAGGTCAAACACCCCTGTGGTTCCTCCTGCACACCTCAGGGATCCATGACTTCACTTGACAGGACAAATAGAGTCTGATTTAAGAATGAGGCAGAAGCTGCCCATTTTAAATCCAATTTGTTCTCTTACTATAAATTATTTACCACACTCGACTTGTATATACACTTGTATCTGGAACTATATATCTTAAATGCACAATTAGGTCTTAAATCAAGAATGTACTATAAAAATAATGTTTACTTAGGTTTGTACTGGTAGCAAAGAGACTTAGAACCTTCCATAAGAGTACCCCTAAAACATGGATGGTCCCTCATTGGAGGATACAATAAAATCCTAAATAATTGCAATTAGATATTTAATGAATGGAAGGAAGAAAAAATTGCAATGAGTTTCTGATCAGATCAGTTGCATCAGATCAAGTCACTTGAAACTCCGCCTTTGCCGGTCCCAAGCCCGGATGAAAAAGGAGGAGGGGGAGCAGTAACAAGCTCGCTAAAAAACCTGGGTTCAGCTAGCCTGGCTGATAGTACCATGTAAGGGCTCCTAATCTAGGAATACAGGGTGAGCAGCGTTTGTACTCCATGTTAGGAGCGGCTGCACATGGTGTCTGTTCCTCATGTCAGAGGCGGCCATTTCTTTTGGAGCTAAGTTGGCCTGCCACTGAGTAGTGCTCCCAGTCTTAATGACAAAGGCAGACACATTCTACTTCACCCAGTCATGATGGTTGTCAAATACCATCAAGGGTCACAACTTGATACCCTAATGATTGAGTGGAGATAAGAAAGAAGAAGTCACTTGATGATTGATGGGAAGTTTTATCGTACCCTGCAATGAATTGTCCTCATCCCGTCTAGTGATGACAGTGTAGACCCAGTCCTTTATCAAGACTGTCTGCCCACTGTTCGTAAACTTATCATGGCAGATCTAGACTAGGAAGTCAATGGCAGGGGGACAACAGTAGTGAATAGGCCAGAATATTGTTTCAAGACAGTTTACAGAATTTTTTACTTATCCAAATTATACATGGCTGTGATGGTGGATAGTAAGTGATTGTGGCACCACATATGTCTACAGATGTAGAAGGCAGTTTGACATTTTCAATTCAAGTGTGTCAAAGCTTCATTAAGGTTACTTGCACACTCATTGGAGGAGTTGGACTTTTGCAAGCATCGGGGGACTCAATCCTGGGTCATGGATGTCAAAACCCAATGGTTTATAGCACTCTCCCACCAACCAAGAGTACTGGAACACCATATACAGTTAAACCTGTCGCCCCCTCTTTGGACTCACCAAAATAGGGTGCTATAGAGAGGGGGTGCTATAGACAGGTCACTTTTAATGTAAATCGCATCGTACTACGTATTTAAAATCGGGCGCTATAGAGAGGGAGGCACTATTTAGAGGGGGCGCTATAGACAGGTTTAACTGTATATATGTTACAAATATAATGTTTTTATTATTGAAAATATAGAGAATTGAAGGTGCAGTCTAGAAAATAGGAAAGATAATTATTTACTTATATCAAGTAGTTTTTATTTTCAATTACTAGAGAAGCAAATTATACATATTAAATATTTATCACAATTATATAGAATTTATAAAATGAATCTTATATTGGTGAATTAAAAAATATAGGTAGGTTAACTATAAATATATTTACAACAATATTCAAAGTGGTATATTCTAAATCTATGGTAAAAAAAATGTAGAACAGTCAATGAATGAAAATAAAATATATGTTTTTAAAAAATACAAAATATTTGCACTTTTCAGATTATACAATATATATATATAGAGTAAAACCCCGCTAATAAGAACCCTGGATATAGCGAACCTTCCCTTATAACAAACCTAAGGCGATTCCCAATTCCATTCCATTGAAAATACCATCATTATAACTAACTTTGCGATTTTTTAAATAACAAACTACCCCTATAACGAACCTATTTCAAGTCCCAAAATGATAAATTCTATTTAAAATACTGGGCTTAAATTCCATCATTAAAGTCTGTAGAGTTGTTTCATCTCATGAAAACAACAATTGCATTAATATTTTTACCAATTTTTTTTTTTTTTTTTTGCTTATCCCTAGTACACATGGTACAGGCCATGATAATCATGGTGGGTAGAAGTTGGCGACTGCTTTTACTGTAAGTGCACCACATGACTACACATTTGAAAAGCAGTTTGACTTTGCACTTACAAATGTGACAGAGCCCCGTTTTATTACTTGCACTCGCTGGTGGGGTTGGACTTTTGCAAAAATCGGGGCCATTGGAGCATTTTTTTTTTAATCAGAAAAAAAAGTGCCCAAAGCGGGAATCGAACCCGGGTCGTAGCTGTGAAAAACCAACGGTTTAGACCATCCTTCCACCAACCCCACCAATGAGGCAGCAGTCAAGCCATCAGTACTGTATGATATTGGGTCTTTTTTAATTGACAGATCTCTAGCTTTGGGGCAGAAAGCCCTTCTATAGGATAAAATATTTTACATTAAATAGCCAATAGGAGTTTAAATAAAATCAAACACATGGGGTGTTTCCAGTTATTTGAATGCAGAATCAACGCGGGCCCCTCCATTGTCTGTGCTTATCAAGTTTGTTATTCAGAGGCTATATCTTTATTTGTAGGTTATGGGGTGGGTTCAGGGATATGATGTAAAAACTCCATCAGTGCATCCAGTCCCAAAAGAGGGATAGCAGTATTAAACTTTGTAAAAACTGTATTGACTCATCCACTGATGAACTCCACTCATTCCCAGAAGACACCATCAAAAGTCTCAAGATTTACAAGCTTGATACCCTGATATGATTGAGTGGAGATAAGAAAGAAGAAGAACTTGGTAAAAACTGTATTGACTCATCCATTGATGAACTCCACTCATTCCCCGAAGACACCATCAAAAGTCTCAAGATTTACAAGCTTGATACACTGATAAGATTGAGTGACCGATATGTCCTCACTTCTTTTTTCTAGATTTGGTTCATTTTGTCTCCTCTCTAATTGTAAAGATGTTGCTGTATCACCTCATAAGCATAAATAAAATAACATTGAGTGGAGATAAGAAAGAAGAAGAACTTGGTAAAAACTGCATTGACTCAACTATTGATGAACTCCACTCATGCCCAGAAGACACCATCAAAAGTCTCAAGCTTTACAAGCTTGATACACTGATATTATTGAGTGGAGATAAGAAAGAAGAAGAACTTGGTAAAAACTGTATTGACTCATCCATTGATGAACTCCACTCATTCCCAGAAGACACCATCAAAAGTCTCAAGATTTACAAGCTTGATACACTGATAAGATTGAGTGGAGATAAGAAAGAAGAAGAACTTGGTAAAAACTGCATTGACTCATCCATTGATGAACCACTCATTCCCAGCAGACACCATCAAAAGTCTCAAGCTTTACAAGCTTGATACACTGATATTATTGAGTGGAGATAAGAAAGAAGAAGAACTTGGTAAAAACTGCATTGACTCAACCATTGATGAACTCCACTCATTCCCAGAAGACACCATCAAAAGTCTCAAGCTTTACAAGCTTGATACCCTGATATTATTGAGTGGAGATAAGAAAGAAGAAGAACTGCATTGACTCAACCATTGATGAACTCCACTCATTCCCAGCAGACATCATCAAAAGTCTCAAGCTTTACAAGCTTGATACCCTGATATGATTGAGTGGAGATAAGAAAGAAGAAGAACTTGGTAAAAACTTTGGTCAGATGGCCTGGCTGATAGTAAAAACTACTGGGGAGACCCAGAGATTTGGACAAATTCAAAATTCAATCTAATCTGAACCTTACCTCAAGTGAAAATTTGACCCAATCATGTTGCTTATTTACATTAATATCTGACCAATCAGGATACAGAATATATGTACTCCAAGTTAGAAGTGGCTGCACATGTCAGAAGAGGCCATTTAATTTGTAGCTAAGTCAGCCTCCACTGAGGAATGCTACCTATCTTAAGCAGATGCATTTTACTTCTTTTAATCATTAAACTCAAGACCCACTGACTCAAAATCTTTTTATGATTGAAAGGAGATATATATATGTTACGATGCACTTGCGCACCATCTGATTTCAAAATACGAAACTATTTTGAAAGCGTAAAATTATTTTTGAAATTAAACAAATTCTACTGCCCTTACTGCAATATAAAAGGAAGTTCCAAAAATGCAATATAACAGCGGTATGGTAGATTAAACTGGCAAAACCGTTGGGAGGGTTCACCACTGATGAGCCAGGCCTTCCCTTTAATTTTTCCATTGCAGTAAGGGCAGAAGAATTTGTTTGATTTCAAAAAGAATCTAACGCTTTTAAAATAGTTTCGTATTT